AGTGACAGGACCCAAAGAGTGTGAGTTCAATACCCAGTTAAGTCAGTGGAGAACTTTCAGAGGGAAATTAACAGGAGATAACTGATAACTGACATCCATTAAAAATATGGCAAGTGGAACTAGAACAGTCTACCCCAGTGAGCAAAATAAAGGGTTCAGTTCGACATTCCAACCACCTGAAGAAGGGCGAAACATTGTAATAAATATGGCGACAAAGATGAGGACAATAGTCTGAATAATGTAAATAGCGTACATAATATCTCATCTCAGAAATATAGATAGATACTGAAAGGCTGAAACATTGTAATAAATATGGTGACAAAGATGAGGACAGTAGTCCGAATAATGTAAATAAATAGTGTACATAATATCTCATCTCAGAAATATAGACAGATACTGAAAGGCCGAAACGTAATAAATATGGCGACAAAGTTGAGGACAATAGTCTGAATATTGTAAACAGTGTACATAATACCTCATCTCAGAAATATAGACAGATACTGAAGGTGGAAATAATCCCTACAATATTATCAAAAAATTACACTGTAGTCTATCAAAATCATATAAACTCTTGATCTGAACTAAAAATCTTTGTCATATTTTCCAAATTAATTGGCTTAGTTAAGCCTCATGTGGCCAAGCAAATATTTCATTTCTTCTTCCTTCATAGCTCATTTAAGTTTTGATGTATATCCATTAAATAAGCTTTCCTTTGCTAACAACATATTGTAGATATATATCCAATTCACATACACAGTTGGTGCGTACTACCATTGCATCTCCTAATTGGGTTGGGCCTAAGCCTGATTAGGGTACCAAGCAGTGCTTTGTGACTATCTTATCAACATCTGCTTTTTTCTACCTACATTTATATACATTACAAATTAAACTAAGCACATCTGACTATTAACAGACGAAGAATTTTTGCAGATTTTGATCTCATTCTGGGGTCTTTTTTTCATTTTCATGTGAAGTCTCAACTAAAACTTGCCTATAGAATTCACTAGTTTTTAGCCATGATATTGAATGTGTTAAAATTATTCAACTTTTTAACAAGAAAAATCTCAAGTTGATATTAAAAATTGCCACAAAAGATTGTTGATTTAAGATGGCATGATCTATGTCTAACTAAAATGTATTTAGATACCTTGTATTTATTTTCAATTTTTCTAGTTGAATTGTTTACCTATATTGCATATGATCTATTATTGTACATAATTAAGTTACAATAAAATTTGTATTTTATATGAATAATACCTTATGAAAATTGAGATGTAGTAGAGTGGGGGTCCTGTGTTATAGATTAGAAGGAGAGCATATCATAGATTTAGCAATGGGACATGAGACCCTTACACTTGCCCTGTGTTTACCTATATATGTTTAACTAAATATAATAAGCAATAATAAATTAATCTTAACATATTAACTTTTGTTATACTTTAAAGTTCTTTCTTATAGCCATGAAAATTTATTTTCATTGCCGAAATGATGTCTATATTTTTTTCATTTCTGATCTTCATTGGAGATTCTAATCCTTCTGATCAATTATCCTTGTCAACAATTCTTATTTCATTATCTCTTTCCTAACATCTATTGGATTAATCTGATTATTTATCTTCAATAAAACATGAATTGATGAGTTTTAATTATTGTAGTTGTCCATGTTTTGAAATTAGAATTTTGATATTTTTTCTTTTTTTCATTCACTTAAAAAGTTAACATTTTTAAAAATGATGCTTTTGCAAATAATTTTTCTGAAAACATTCCTCTTTTCCAAAATTGAAAAATAGTCAAAAACTGTCACTAATAATGCTTAGTATAACTATAAACTTTTATGAGTTTCTGAAGAAACAAGACATCAGTTGTACATAGGGTTTTCACAGGTTTGAAAAGATATTAACACAGAAGTTTGAATTTATTTGTTTGTCATAAACATAAATAAATTTAAACTTGTGTTAATACCTTTCAAAGCTGTAAAAATCTGTTATTTATAAACAGAAAAAACTGAGTTATATATAATCTAAATGAACTCCAAAATTCACCAAATCATGTGGAAAGAAATGTGTTTGATAGATTATTTTTATTTTCTGTTGTATGAATAAAGAAAAATTCCATTCTCAATCTGAATTTTATATTTAGAAATACAATATTTTAAATATTTGTCTTATAGATTTTGAAAGACCACTATTTTTAATTATAATCATGATATTACATACTGATTTTTTTATGCTATCATTCACCCAATACAAAGTCCAAGAGCCACTCAAGGTAGAGCGTTACTGAATGGGGTTGTTTTATAGATGTAAGAATTATAGATTAGGAGGATATATAGTATAGCCAATGGTTGACCCTGGACTTGAAGTATATAAGATTGTAGTGGGGTCATGAAAGCATTCAATTTAACAACACCTCTTTCATAAGTAAAGGTATAAACAGAATGAGATTAGAAGGTAGTTCAGAATGAGGTAATTGTTAAAAAGCTTGTATAGTTGACCATTGTTACTAAGTAGTGTGGTCAGTTCTCACTCTACACTCTATACTAGAGGCCTTGTGTCAAACAAAGCTAAGATTAGTAAATAACAACAGGATGAGATAGCAAGAGGGTGATACCTCTTCCTGCTCTGTCCTTTTATCAGATATTTTAACAAAATGTCTTGTGGATGTACAGGTGGAGTAATGGATAGCATCTTGGATTGAGGAATTGGAGAGATGAGTTCAAATTCTAGTCAAGTTCCTTACATTCACTTACATACAAATACCCTTGGGAAAGGTATGTATCCATCTCCTCCCCCAGCTATAGGTTAAATAGGAGGACAGACTGGATCCTATAGCCTTGGGTAGCAACTGGTCTTGGAGAAGTTCAACTCTGAATTCAAAATCTGAGTGGTCGGCAACTGACTCAGGTCTCCCTAAAGATGTGTTCAACCAGGGAGGAGTTCCTCCAAAGGAATGAGAAGGCCCTGCATTTGGATTTGGTCTTATTACTGGCATGTCACAATGATTGAGAAAGAAAAGAATGGGTGACTAAGCTAATAACTTTCCCATAGCAACTAAATATGCATGGACTTGTATGCATTTTTAACAACCCTAAAATTATTAACATCTTCAAATGTATTACAGCTGCAGAGTGTTTCATTTCAAGTGCAGATTTCCTTATCACATGACAATAAGAAAAGAAAAATATGCCTTTTTAAGATATTTTCCTTAAAATTCTGTAAAAAGAAAGTAGAAAGCAGTTTTCATTAAGCAAATATACATTTCTTATGGCTTTGAATGTAAAAATTAAAAATAATGAAATAGAATTATGCTTTTCACTCTTGGATAACAAACAAAAGTTCTTGGTAATTATTGATCTGATCATTTTGAGAATTGTTTCATCAACCTATGATGTCATTTAAGGGGCAGATAACCTCAAATATCTTTGATTCAATTTTTCACAATTAGTCAATCAATATTTATTAAGCTTGTTGCAGTCACTACTTCTAACTCAATTAAAAGCAGTGGCAACCAAAATGTTCACATGTAAATGAAAGGATGTCATCATTTGTAGAGGCGAAAAGGAGAAAAAAATGAAGATAACTTTCTACATGTTTGTGATGGAATGACAATTGAGGACTTTTGAAGAAATTGATATTTCAAAAGAATAAATTTCAACACAGATATTTTTATGTACTTTTATATAACTAATAAATGATTAACAAACAAGAGAAACTACACTACTGTGTATATATATAGCTGAAAAGAGTATGAAATACATTGTAGAGTTAGCTGTAGTGTGTGTGTGTGTGTGTGTGTGTGTGTGTGTGTGTGTGTGAGAGAGAGAATATGTGCATGTGGGAGAAAAAGAGGAAGCTTAAATCTGGTCTTTTATAGACCTGAAACAGTGCAAACTAATAGACATTATGGCAGACCAAGTGGAGAAACTCTCCACAATACTCCCCACAGATTGGAAAATTTATTTTGCCAATATGTCCATAATGCTTGATTTTGTTTTGTTCTTTGTAACCTGACAGGTAAAATTCGAATGGTATAGTTGAGATGTGAGTAATTAGCACAACAACAAAAAGGTGTTTATTGTGACCTATCCCCTTACCATGCTTACATCAAGTGCAGCATTTTCTCCTTCCAAAAACTGGAATTTTATAACTTTACTCTCTACATGTGTCCTGAAGGGTAGCCATTTTAAAATAGAAGTCTTGGTAGAAAAAGAGAAGTATCGCTACAGTTATTTCCCCTTAGTTTTGCAACACTTTATGGTTTATAGCTAATTAAAAAAAAAGAAAAGGAAAATAGGACTTTCCTCAGTATTTTCATATGCCTGAGCAATGCCATTCTCTGCATTGTTCTCCATCAGATTTCTAACTTCTTTGTCAGAGTGTCTGAGAATGTTCCAAGTGCATCAATGACTTGAGGAACTATATTAATTTTATGTTCTTTCATTAGTATTTATCTGAAAGCCAAACAATTAGAATTTTTCTTTTATCTCCTAAATGCTAATCTTTTTCAGTTTTTCCAGAAATAACAAAATTATGGCAATCTCCCATAGCCAGCTTTCTTTATTTTAATAATAATAATAATGATTTAGTAAATTTAAGTATAAATATTAGTACATATGACTAATAAAAGAAAAGAAAAAAGCATAAAACAGTATGAGACTTGTGCTGAGAATTTCTCGGCACCGCCCACCAAATGACCAAACATCAGATTAGTATGAAAGGGCTTTTCGGGTAGTTCGAGAACTTTTCCGTGCTACTCTCGCATTAACAAACAATAGGTTTAATTCAAAACGGGAAACATAAACCAGGAAGCGAATGTTATTTATTTCAATAGAATTTTTTAGGCCCGTACAAGCTACCGTATTTCCACTGCTTTCTTCCCCGGAACTGGTAAGAGTTATGTCCCTCGATGGTGCCACCCGACCTCAGTTGCTTCCCCCCGAGCAGACAGTCATCCACACCCGTCACACAAACCATGTAGTGCAGTGGAACGAATGCTGACAAATGAAGACGATACAAATTGATGAAATTACGGGCATCTGGTCCTATTTACAGACGGTAAGACCACACGACAGTCATTGTTATCTTTTTGTTTGCTCTTTGTAGATTTAAAGCTGAAAATCTTGCAAGAAGGTTCATCACCCACTTTTCTCCTCTGTCCGTTCAATAGCAGGTGCGAACAATAACAAAACAAGGTTCGATCCTAGCAACAATGATATAATATTGCAAACCTATCTTTTCTAATTGTATTTATTTATTTTTCAAAGGTATTTATAATTTATCAAACTTTAAATACATTAAAAATGTACATAATTGTAATAATCATTTAATCTCTCTTTTTCTCTCTCTGTTTATTTTGACTTGTCACTTGAACATTTTGTTGTAAGTTTATAAATCACTTTTTCTTTTCTTTTTTTTTTTTAATTTTACTTTTTGGTTGCATTTTTAAAATTCCATGAAGTCTTAGTACAAAACAATCCCCACCCCCGCACTCGACAGAGCTTCTTACATTTCTGTTTTAATTGTAATAATAATTTTTAAATATAATTGTACCCTCGCCAAAAAAAAAAATAAACATTCCTTCCTTCCTTTTTATTTTTTTTTCTCACCATTGCCAATGGGAGGAAAATAAAACAAACGATATTTCTCTTTTTTATTTTATTTTTTCGGCTCCAGGAAAGTGACTTTAAATCAGAAATTAAGAATGTCCCTTTCTTCTAACGGTCAGTCTTGTATTTGAAAAATAAAAACGATCTAAAGAAATTTTTGATTGATCCTCCAATTTTTTTTAAACAGATTTTATTTTCATTCGCGACATTTTTGCGTGTGTAATTTTACAATTGCCCCCCCCCCCAACTTTTCATTTTTGAGCTCAAAAAGAAAAATAGTTTAAAAACTTTCTTGCTTGTAGTAATTTACCGTTTAGTTCTTTTTTTTTTTTTTTCTCCTCCTCTTTCTGAAAGAAAGTAATGCTGTTTAATAAAATATAAAATAAATACAGTACATTCATTTGTATTGTATTTATTTGCGATTTTGGCTACCCAGGCACCTAATTAATTGTTACTTTTTGGTGAATTAGGAAGGTGTGCTTTTATTAATTGGTGTCGTAGAAGAAAAGTCGGTGAATAATTGAGTTAAATTAAATTAAATTTCAACTGAAATAATTTGTGTTCACTTATTTTTATCCCCCTCCTTTTATTACGTCAAGAGATCAAAACGTATACCTGTTGCTAAATGCCTAGTTGAATTGGGTAAAGTAAAGAGATGGGCGCCGCCAATAGTATCTTTGTATAATTTGGCTCGTAAAATTCTTTGAATATTTTTTGTTTACTTCCATCTTTAAAATTTATTTGAAATTGTAAAAAATAAAAATCATTGACATCGTGTGAAATTAACTTGTACTAGAGATTTTATTACTTTAAAAATGTCTTCTCACTTTTCTAAAAGGATTCATTTTTTAAAATTTCAACTTTTAAAGAAATATATTTTTAAAAAAATATCATGTGATTTTTTTTTTTAATATTAAAAAAAATTGTCTGCATAACGATTTTTTTCCATTCATTATGATTAGCTTCAGTTCAAGTTGATAAACTTTCGCTTTCTTAAGAATTTTTTTATTTTTGCGTGTTGCTATTTTAATAATTTTCTTAATGAATTTATTGCTTCATATTCGCGGAAAAAAAGGACAAAGTTAAAAAAGAAATATATTTTGATTATTATTTATTTACTTAAAGACGTTAATTTCACAACAACAGAACCACTTTTTTTTTTCTTTCAAAGCTTTAAGAACTTTTCCCGGCTTTTTCATGCCCCCTCCCCCATTTTTTTTTTTTTTTTTTTTTAAACTGTTTTCGAAGTTTGAAACTTAGAATTGTTATCGTGAAATATTAACGGCACCACTCACCGTCTAAAAATGCATGTTGGCCTTGCTTTATTCATTGTACATTCGTGATTCTACAAAATAATTTAATGCATAATTTTGGGAACGACCCCGTGGGACCTGACCTAAGAAGCTTAATTAAAGTTTTTCTTTTTTTCTCTTTCTTTTCACTCTCAATGCATATTTTTGTAAATACTTACCAAGTTCTTGTTTTTTTTTTTTTTTTTAAGTAGTTGCAATTTTTCCTCTCCATACGAAAGCCGCTGATTTCTTATCTTCTCTCCCTTTTTTTTCCACCCTTTCAGAGTAAAATGTTTTATTTTTTCTTTTCACAATCTTTTTTTTTTCTCTGAGAAAAAAAAATCCAACTAGAAATTAATTAAAAAAAATAAAATAAAACCCAACTTTGTTTCAACAATTGATCTGCTTGAAACATCAATTGCTCAAGTGATCTATTTTCTAAAAAAAATATTTTGTTGCATTTTTTAAGAGGGTGAGAAAGAGAACCGAGAACTAAACCTAAAAATTGAAATGGTTGTTAACAGGTAAGTTGCATATTATGAATTTTCTAATATGCAACCTGCAATTTTTTTAGTCGTTTGACTGGTGTGAAATGCCCTAGTAAGATGGTCGATTTAACTATTTGGAATGAATTATTACGACTTAATCTTCTTCGGTCAATTGTGGGAGAGATGAAAAACAACTTTTATTTCTGCTGAACTTCTCCCAAATAACTTTTAAAATCAAGCCAACCGTCATTGTTTTTTGTTGTGTTTTTTTTTTTTTGTTTGTTTTTTTTGTTTTACCATCGATTGGAGTTTGAACTAAAAAAACAAAAGTCAATAAAGAAACCTGATACAGTCCGTTTTTATACTGAGGGAAAAATAAGTAATGCATCAAAGATTTCTATACGCAGAAAAAAAGAATTGCAACAACTAAAAAAAAAAAAGATTATTCTTTCATTCTCAATTGTTTTATGGTTATTAGTCAGATTTATTAGTAGTTGAAAGTGTTTTTCTTTAAAGAAACTAGTAGATTGTGTGTGCATACCCGCACGTAGCACACGTAACGAAAACTGAAAAGTCTGCCAATAAAATAAACAAAAGGGGAGATGATTTACTAAATCTTCCAGCTGTTGTATGAAGGGAAACTTAGGCCAAGAAATAAGTTTTATTATTGAAGAGAGCAAACAACTTTATATGGTACAAGGACAAACTGAAAATTGCATGATTGTTCTACCAATCTACCTATGAATATTAGTTAAATGTGCTCGTTTCTATTGATAGTCAACCTGTTACTTATTTTCATTTTTTTTTTCAAGTGCTTACTTTTTCTGACGACAAACCAACAGGGTTCACTCATTCAGATTTAAAATGAATAAAAATAAAAAAATTTTTTTTTTTTTTTTTTTAAACTGAATAAGTTATTGAATCCTTTTTTTTTTTATATCTGACAGGAAAAATGTAAGGACTTCTTTCTTAAGTATTACTTGGTTTTCATACAAGTAAATGAGTCTCTCAGTGAAAATCAAATTCACTTGTAATAATTTTTAAAACTAGCTTATGCTATAGTGAGGTGACCAGCGAAAATTTATAAATCAACTTGCAAAATGAATCAATTTGTCAAATGCTTTTCTATTAGCTAATTTATAGATATATGTATAATATAGATATATTTTTTAAGGTATGTTATAAAGTTAAATTTATAGGAGAAAAGTGCTCAATATCCAGGACAGAACATATTTCAATATAAGCAGTGTTATCATAATACCAATCAGTTTGGTGTGATTATATATATATATATATATATATATATATATATACATACAATGTGTGTGTGTTAATCAGAAATACTTTTATAAACTTTTGGGGTGGGTTCCTCACACTAAAACAAGGATAAAAGTCCATATAAAAACTCCTTTGTTGAAGACAATGACAATTTTATTGAATAAATTTACACTTTAGTATTTAAAGATATTTTTGTGTAATTTTGGTAAATATATGTTAAAATGAGATATCAGTTTAATTTAGGCGACAATTCATCCATTGCACCATTTTTATATATATATATATATATATATATATATATATATACACACACACAAAAGAAAAACTTAACCAACATGTTTTATCCTCTGTGGAACTTTATCAAGGCAAATGCAAGGATTTTATTTTGTAACAAGTATTTATATACAAGAGCAAAAATGTTATTTGTTATTCAGAATCTTTGAGTTAGGAATACTCATTAATATTCATTAGGTTATCTGGAGCATCAGGCCAGCTATGGGGGTTGCATTTGCATTGATAAAGTCCCACAGAGGATGAAATGTGTTGGCTAACATAAGTTTTCCTTTTGTCTTTATTCATATTGTCCTTATATATATATAATTTTGCATAACTCATTAATACCCATGGTAAAATCCAGTATAATAGGTTTTGATCTTTGACTCATCAATTCTCTTTTCCAAATAAATACCATATTTTTTATTTTAATTTTCATGCATACCAGGTTTTACATCAAACATTAATAGCTTAAGAATTACTCCAAGTAGCATGTTCTTGAAAACTACCAAATAATATTCCAGTAAAGACAATGATTTTTTTTAACCACATCCCTTCAGGATGTAAAGCTCTCCACATCATCATTTTTTTTTATCTGTACTCTTGGAAAAAGTAGTGGAGTCATTTCCCATTGCCTTCTCCAGATTTTGAATTCAGATTTTATCCTTTTCCTGAACTGGTTACCCCACCAAAGCTACAGAGTCTTCCCTACTATTTAACTCATCACTGGCAATAGAAGATATGGATTTATGTTTTTTCTTGAGACATTAGTATGAAGTAGATGCCACTGCCTACCAATTTCATTTTCCATGCCAATAACTGTTATACCATCTGCCCTCATCCAACAAAGATGGCGTCTACTAATCTGCTGACTTTTCATCTCTGAATTTCAATTATCTGTTGTATCAGAATTTATCAAGAACCTAAGAAAGACTAGAACATTTTTGAAAACTTGTAACTTATTTTTTTTCCCCCCAGTGTTTTAATAAAATCTCCAATTGATATATTCTACTTTCTCAGACAAAGAACAATAATTTTAGTGTTCTAGTTACAAATTCCATTTGAATCACTGCTCATTGTAGTTTCCTTTTGGGTTCATTACACTAAAAAGTTATTTT